ATACATAAGAATCCTTAATGGCACATTCAATCTGTCAGCGTAGTGAATAACTACATAAGATTATTTTTTTTCCTTAATATACTTCCACTTCTTTTTCTGATTGTTTAAAAATGAACATAATGAGTGAGTAACATGGTATATGGTAGTAACTTAATTTGTTATAATCTGATTGAACTCATCCTTTGTGACAGTTAACGTGGATGATTCTGTGGATGATATTGTGCGTCAATTTCAAGGTGTTTCTGATGGCTTGATGCGTAAAGTTTTCGGCTCTCCTTCATCTTCTTCTTATGAACCTACTACCTCTACTTCAGACATAAATTTGTTTTAGAACGTGGAGGAATACATAAACTGGCTTCAACACAAAGCTACTCTGAGTCAGTTAATAGCTTCTCTGACAATGATAACGGTGATAAAGATGGAAGCCACAGGGATGAGGAAGTAGGACCTAGTTCAGAAGACAATGGGTGGCATTTGGACAATGAGTTGAATTCAAAAGGATTTACCCCTTGGTGGTTAAACGTGACGTAGAGCCGATAAGCTCCGCGGTGGACTTGAAGAATGGTTCTGTGCTCCAGCGTGAATCTTTCAGTTCTGGAGGATTCCCTGGAGACAAGTTTGGTAGTAGTTCCCAGTTAACTAGAGGATCCAGTTGGAGTGCCACCAGAGGTATCTGTTACTTCTTCCCCCTTTTCTACTTTTTGTGAATGGTATATCTTCATCGGAAATTTATTCTGCTGAATACATGAAGGAAGACCAATAGACATGCTACAAGACATCTGAACTTAGGAATCGTTTCTTATCAGAGGGCTGCAAGTGAATGTATATGAGCTCATCTTTTTTCTTCATATTCGGATATTTTACTTGTATCAAGGAGTAGATTAACATGCTTTATTAAGGTTCATATTAGGTGAGATAAAATCAGTCTGGTAGTCTCATGTCTGGAATGCTCCCCCAGTTGGATTACTTATACTGTAGGGCACTAGGGCCAGGGTTACCTGAGGATATGTTTCGCTTCAGTTATGGGGCAATGAAAGGGTGTTAAAGTGATTTCAGTTTTAGCATGTGAGATATCTACAAGTAAGGTTCTTGTCAGCCTTCTGATCAAATGATATCTACTGTATTTTATCTGATATATTTCAGTAGGGATGGCAACGGGGCTGGTTGAGTCTTAACCTGCTAAAATTTTAACCTGCCCCACCCACCCTACATAGCCTTCTTTTTCTATCTTCAACCGACTCGCCTTACCATGCCCTATTTTAGTATCTGTCATTTGTTTTCTTATTTTTACAAATGGAGACTTTATATTGCTTTATCAAAAGTTCAATGCTACTGTAAGTAAAATTATAAATCCAAAAATTTCTGAACACATAGTAAATAGTTCTCCATTACGTTCATTAGTATTTACTATTTAGTAATATAGTTTTGCTAACCAGTCTAAACTATATGGCTCTTTTTATGTATTGTACGACATGATTCACTAAAAAATATAAGAGAACTATAGAAAGAAAAAAACCCAGCTGTAACATAGAAGGAAGTAAAATCCTCCCAGGCACGTTCCGAAAACTCTTTTCTCTCCTACTTTTTAGGGGTGCAGAACACCTTTTCTGGTGACTCTTCAGCCGGATAAAGATCCTTTATTTGTCTAATTTCTCTAAGCTACCACCTTCGTGGTAACTTCCCGCCTTTCACTCCGTCAACCAGCCAAAGGGATTACAAATTATATATCCGGGCAGCGGATAAATCATATGACATTGTTGAGAGCTATTCTTCTTCAGAATTCTGGTACGATTGGGTAGAAAGGGGTAGATCATCATTAAGAACATGATTTTAAGCAAGAAAGTCTTACTTTGATCATGTCATTTAATGCGTTTGGCGTCCAAAGCCAATGGTAACAGAATCAATAGATGGAGGATGAAGGATCACCCTTCCAACTACTTTTGCTCTCAGAATTTAATAGGGTAGGGGGGTTCATCAGCATCATAGCAGTCCAAGGTCAACGGAGGTATGTCATTATTATACCAGAGTCTGTATTTAATGGGGGTTGAGAGATGTTGGCACAGAAAATTGAAGTATTCATTAATAGGAGGGGTCCCCCAATACTGAAGGAAATTTTACTTCAACCAAAGAGGAGCTCAACCTTTGCAGAATCTATTACAAGAAACCGATGGCAGTCAAAAAATGGGAATCTGGAAGTTTCAAACAATGAAAACAGATGTATCGAGATTAGTGGTTTTTCTGGTCTTTCGGAGAAGGACATACTCAACAGATGTTTTCTGGAGATTGCTATCCTGTCCCCGGGGTGTCAAGCAAATGGGGTATAACACAGTTGGTGTCTTCGACATGAACGGGTTTCAATTTCTTTTCGAATTCCCCTCTCGATCTTTAGCAGAGAAAGTCAAGCTTGGCCAGTGGAGTATGCAGCAAGCTACACTTGACCTTTCATGGTGGACTGAATTCTAGTTTATTTATATTCGAGTGTCAACCATTATCTGGTCTACTTCTGTAACAAATGCTATGTTTGGTTGGAAAACTTGGAATGACCATGAGTTCACTTGCAAAACACTGAATTGTTTATGGATTTCTCTGTTCATCCTATATATTTGAATTAAATCTAGCTTTATAGATTTGGTGTTAAAGACAAGGCAAACTGCTATTGTGATGTGGAAAAAGCCTTCTAAAAGAGCAATCTTTGTCAAGAGGTTTCATTCTACAGTCACTAGTGAACTGGTAATATTCTGCTTCTGTTCATCATTTACAAGCTTATAAGTGAAACCCAGCTCATTTTCGTGCTGTTTTTTCCTTTTCTATTGACTCTCTTAATTTGTAGAGGACCATATGATTTCTTTGGCATATATCAGAAAATTTACCTGATAAAGCCACTCTGAAGTGTCTTTCTGGAGGCACTTGGAACGTGAAATTACAATGTGATGGAAGAGGGTTGCTTATACACAATGGTTGGAAGAAACTTCAGAAAAATAACCAACAACAAAATGGGGAATATCTCGTTTCAAGGTAAGACGGTGCTCTGCAATTCACAATAAGAATTTTCAGCAAGAAAGGACTTGGAAAGACAGGTGAAGTCAACAAACATGGTAAAAACCAAAAAGCTCCAATATATGGAGGCAGCAAGCGTAAAAGGCCAAAAAAATACCCTCACACTTCAAAATTCCCTAAACAGACTCGTGCTAACAGTGGAAATGGCGCAGGTATGATGATTTAACTCCTACCCTTCCAATTCTTCTTGCTGTTGTTGAAAGTTAGCATAAAATGCAGTGATAGCGATCAAATTTAAACTTTCATCAACTGGAATTTCCTTTGCAGAAGACCTATTTTAACATGTGATGTACTAATGGACTACTATGTTGTATTCCCTTAGAAAAAGAGCTGCACTTGAGAAAGAAGACGACCATCTCACAGGTCTCACTCCAAATATTCCACAATTTGTGAAATGCTTGAAAGGCTATAATGTGAAAAAGTCCTGGTGCTTCCTGGTAAGTGTTATCTTGAAGTAAAACTAGTTCATGCTTATTAGTCTCTGTCACCATTAATCTATGAAATGTGAATGTATGTAAACCAAATACTAAAAACTTCTAATGCAGTATGTTATTTCCGTGTGTAGCCAGATACATTTGTCAATAAATCTATGTTCATGTTGATGATTTCTAGACTGGTAAACTGTTTTTTTATGTGAACGAGACTGTCAAGGTGATTTCTTGAGTGAAAAGAACTGCTAAAATGATTTTTGGTGTGAACTTTGGCTTCATCATTCTATCGGCTATTGATAAGCTTGACAAAAAACGATAAAATTGTTGGTGCCAAAAGTTTTGCTGAAAGAACCAAAAAAGAGTTTACTAAGTCATACGAACGTTTGAATTGAGCCTAAAGACTTTTATGCTTGCAACAAAAAAAGAAAGGAGAATGTGGAAATATACCTAAATTTTGTGATTTATTGTTGATATATACCCTCATTAAAAATGTGGCCGACTCATTTGTAGCCATTCTATTACATAAATGGCACAAATATACTTTTTTCGTCTTATACCAGTTTATCTATATGTATACACACACGCTTATAGGTAATGAAACTCCTTCAACATTAACGACACTTGTAGAGTTTAGGTTGTGTGGTGAATTCTTCAACTCGCGAGGGGTGATCTTTGAAATTATCCCTAAAGAATACGATGAAAAATAAATGCAAAATACAATTATTTTATTTGGAGTGCAATTGATACAAGAAAAATGCAAAACCAAATTTATTGTATTTGGAATATAATTGATACAAGATAAATACATAATACAATGTAAAATAAATGCAAAATACAATTCTCTCTCCACCCTCTCTTTACCTCTCCTCTCTCCTTCCTCTGTAGATCTTGCTCGCCTCTCTCCTTTTATATGTATTCGTTTCGATACAAAATCAATTTGTATTTGTATTTTTTCTCCAAAGTTCGTTAATAGATGCACTTTCTCCTCTCCCTAGATCTCTCTCACCTCTCTCATCCCTCCTCCCCTAACATTTTGTTATTATTCATAATTAACAAAGTATAACTATAAAATCTTATTTAAGGCTTAATATTTGCTATTTTTGAAAGTTTCCTTTTGCTAATTATGTTTATAGCAACTCAATAAATATAAGAAGCAGACTTCAATGCAAGTCCTACCCTCACCTAACATTTCACGAATAATCACTTTGGGTGTGTTTGGTATGGAGTAAAATATTTTCCATGGAAAATGTTTTCCTAGAATATGTTTTCTTGGAAAACAAGTAGATTTTGGACTTATTTTCTCATGTTTAGTTGGTGAGTAGAAAATATTTTCTGGAAATGATTTTTAGTGTTTGATTTATGAATGAAAAATGTTTTTGAGAGACATCTTTTATTTTTACTCGAGTAAAAAATAATTTATGACATTGAAAATATTTTTTGAAGCCCACTTTTAGTATAGTATGATGAGTAAGATCAAATAAAACATTCTCAATTATTTTATAAGATCAATAATACTAACTAAAACAACCTTCATTTCTTTTCAACAAACAACAATATTTTGAGTCTTCAAAATTTGTCAACAAACAACAATGCTTATAGTCATCAAATCTGTCAATACATAATAATACTTAAGGCCATAAAAATTAAAATGCTAGATAAATAGTAATAAACTATTTTTTTATTTATTGTTGCGATGAGAATTTGATCCTTCATAGAGAACTTGAATTTGCAAGTAAAGGACTCTGCCACATTTTCCCCTCACAAATTCACAAATACACCTGTCATCTTTTTCCACAAGATTCCACCTACATAAATTGCGCCATCCGCCTACCAGCCATGTTGTTCCATTGCTCCATTTATTGACTTTTGTCTCAAACTCTCTTCCAACAGAGTCGCGAATGATCATGGTTGGAGGGAGTTCAAGTTTGTAGTCTCTCACCACATCAATTGGAACATACTGTAATTATGAACAAAGACTTTGTTAAATTAGAATGTTACATAAAATTATTCTCTAGATCAATATATAATAATAACTTTTAGTTACCAGTTGATTTCTCATTTTTGCTCGCATCTTTGCTACAAAGTAAGGATTTTTTGGCTGAGTTGCGCGTCCACTTCTAAATATATCTGCACCATATTTGTCATGCACATTCCTCACCTTGCAAGTAATAGCTTTTCGGCGTCCAGCTGAATAAAGGAAATTAAGATAAAGTTTACAAATAAAAATCCCACGAAAACTCACAAATACTCAAGTTGTTTCATTGTACGTGGTGATACTTTATTGAACATGAACTTTATGAAAAAAGAAGACTTCTGACGTTATATTAAAAGTGTTAGGAAATGGTATTTGAATATATTCTTCTCTAGTATTCAATAAAACCTAGCAAAATATTCTCTTAAGCTCGTTTTGTTAATGAAACAAAAAACCAAATATACAAATATGTTATTTTTGCAGCAATGTACTAACATTTAAAGAATTGATTAACATATAAAATCTAACAGATAATTAGATCTAAATATTTAACTGTATTTACCTTTTGAAGCTGACGTGTCTTCTCCATCTGTTTCATTCTCTTTCCTCTCCACCACTTCCTCCTCTGTTTCATCCTCTTCTCCTTCATCCACCTCCTCCTCTGTTTCTTTCTCCTCCCCCTTTTGTTCATTATCTTCTTCCTCTTCATTTTCCACCTCTTCTTCATCATTATCTTCTTCTTCTACCATATAGTTATCAGTGCTATCATCATCAAATGAGCTATTGTTGTTATCTCTAGTCTTGTTTTTCTCTTTTGGTTCTATACTCTGTTGATGTTCAACATTCACTTCTTCCTTCTTGTTGTCACATTTAGCTCCATTCTTTATACATCCATTTGGTTCAAGTAATTTTATATCAAATATTTCATTTCCATCATAATCGAATATTATAATGTTTCCAAACTCTAGATTGTTGTCCTCGATAAATTTCTCCCATCCATTTAGAAAATACAAATCTTTTTCTATTTTGATCACTCTTACAGGCCAAGACATATTACTAAATTGATTCCTAAGGAAAACCTTCCTAGGTAGCTTTCCATTCTTGTAATTTGTATATGCTGTGGGAATTTTCTGTGAAGAAAAAACATATTTTCGAAAAAAAGGGTAAAAACAATATTAATTTCTTTAAATTAAATTTATCGTATCATAAAAAGCAACAAATATGAGTAGAAAAAGTAATTTAAATAAACTCAAGTTAGGACTTTTTGATGCTAGAAATATTTAAGAATGTAACTATTTGAGAAACTACAAAATAGAATACTTGTATTTGCAGATCTAAATTTTCTCCCTTATTCATTGCCCAATCTTCAAAAAGTGTTAATTTATATATAAAAAAAAATTAAAAATGGAGTTAGCAAAAATAATAAATCAAATACTTGTATTTGCAAATCTAAGTTTCATCAAGGTTTTTCACCTTTTCATGTCCATCGCCCACATTTTCAAAAGAAGAAGAAAAATAATCAAGAAACAAAGTTCGAAAAATCTATTACCAGAAGGAGAAAGTGTATTTACCATCCGTTTCGCACTAGTTTGAGGATTGAAAGCCTTGAAAAAGCCCTTTTCCATGTTCACTTTTGTTGTCAAGCAATTAGAGAATAGAAGAACTCGCCACACAACCTAAATCCTATAAGCGCCTTTTGATGTTGAAGAAGTGTCAATACTCAAACATGTGTATATATATATAAATTGATGTCATACCTAAAAGGTATATATTCGTAAGTTCACTTTTCTTTTATTGTTGCAAGCATAAAAAGAGAATGGAAGAATACGCCGCACACCTTAAACCCTATAAGCGGCTTGAATGTTAAAAGAGTGTCAAATACTCATGAGCGTGTATATGTATATAAGAGAAGGGGAGATTATAAGAATCTTAAGATGTTCTCATGCATAGTGCATTCTAGTTTTTGGTGTTCTATTATTTATAAGTACTCGAAAATATCAATTTCCATATTTTTTTTATAGTATCACGTAAAAATTGATGTATGACGGAAAAGGTATATTTGCACATCCCCTCTTCTTTTTTCGTTGCAAAAGTTCACATGACTTAGGTGAACTCTCTTTTTGGCTCCATTCACACTTTAAACACAACTTTTACCATCACCAAATTTGTCGTTTCTGTCACGTTTACCAATAGCCTACAGAACGATTACCAATCTTCTTCACACAAGAAACACCTTACCAACCATTGATGTGGCTATAACCATGTGAACATATAAAGGAACAAAAACTAGAAAGAAAAAAAAACAAATGAAGGAACATGTCTAACATGGGAAGCTAAATGAATGTTACTGAACCTACATCACGACAAGATGTAGCGCAAAGTATGCGTCAGCACTTAAAAGATACTAAGTATGAAAATAGAAGAAAGTTGAATAAAACATATAACTGAATAAAGCGATAAAGCAATGATATAATCTAAACATGATAATAATAATGAAACATACTGAATATTGAGCTAATTGAATGCAATGACCAAGTACATAATACGCAGAGACTGAATACTAACTATACTGATAACCTGGTCAATGCACTAGAACTTCACAGTGGGATCTATTGTTAACCGTTATAAAACCACAAGAAATATCCGTGGAGTCTGATGTATCGCCCCATCGAGAGGACCCAATATACCTTGCCAAAGGTATAAAGGCACGACTGACGTGTTCACTGAATATGTTGCCAACATAGGGAACTTATCCTAGGGGGAACGTAGTTCTAGGACTGAGGATGACTGACCCTTAGTCCACTCGGTATTAAGTCTACTCTCAACTGATTGTATAAATAACACAGTATGACTGAATAGCTTAAAATACTGACATGTTAACTCTGAAAATGCAACATTAATATACTGATAATGAAATATTCTTAACTTAGGCATGTATATTAGAATAAACTGATTTAGCAAAGTGTAATTCATGAATTAAATGAATCTACACAACTAGGATTCTGAATTTCATGCAACGAACTAAGCAACAATTCCACGAAAACTTGATAATCTGATTTGTATTAGTCTAACAACTAAATCTCAACATAAACTTTAAAGTTCTAGAATCCCCAGGTCTAGCATGATATAAAGAATCAAGAATGTGACCGAATACTAGGTACCTAATGGGTGAAAGGAACCTAGTAGTGAAATCCACATACCTGGTGACGAAATTCATGGAGAAATCTTCCAATTTCGAGGATAAAACTGAAGGAAACTTGATGCGTTCTTGGGGAAGTCTAAGTGGACTTTTTCTCGTTCTTTTCGTTCAACTTGATGAATTTTTGGAGATTGAGTTGACTAGGGTAAGTTCTAATTAAGTTACTAGGCCAAAACTAATTAAAACTACGTAGTTTAGGAGTCGCATAAAGAATAGACCAGTGTTTTGGACGGCGAGAGGCGACAAGGGCCTGCCTCGCCACGCGGCGAGGCGCTAGCCTTTTTGACTCGAGGCGCCAATTAATACCAAAAATAAAAAAATATTTAATTGCACATATAATATTCAAAATTTCAATAGCAATTACATATATTACAAATACTATAATAATTACTATAGAAAGAATTAGGTCGCCATGGGCCGCCTTTTGCATACCGCCTCACCTCAGTGGGGAATGGCGAGGAGGCCTCGCCTCGCCTCTCGCCAAAGGCGATGAGGCGCTCGCCATTCACAACACTGGAATAGACCAAACGACCCCTGACTTAAAAGTTGTCGGGGCCAACCGGTGGTCCGTGGACTGACCCGCGGTTCGTTCAGTCAACCGTCGAAGGGCAGTGAAGTTGAATTGGGGTCTGAACCATGACCTGGACCCATAGGTGCTGGCGTGGGTAGACCCTTAGACAAATTCTCTGGACTTCTCTTGGAAGGTCTTTCCCGCCTACAGTCCGTGAGTCAGTCTACAGTCCGTGGGTGGTGCCCGTCGAGCACGTGCAACTTGTGAAATCTCCATTCTGGTCTTTCTAAGATACGGGGTGTTTCAGAAAATTGGTGGTGGAGAAGATAGAGGTGATGCCATTTTTGAGTTGTGTGGAGCTTGGTGGATATTGGGGATTGAAATGGTTGTTGATGCAAAATGGGGATTTGAAATTGTTGTTGATGCGAATTGGGGAATTGAAATTGTTGTTGAATGCAAATTCGGTGTGTTGGGGAGTATATGTCATGTAGAAGATTAAAGAGATGAGTTTGAGATTTATTTTGGTACGACTTCATTTGGTTAAGTGGGTCGAGTTTGGGTAAAAACATGAAATTGGATAATTTTTAGTTGATTTGAGACTTAACGTCCAATTGAAGGGTATGAATGATAAGTATAGTAACAACATGGGTAACAATTACTTTACTTTAATGTAAGGGTAAAGTCAGCTAATAATTAAAGTTGAAGGGTATTTTTGACCCTTTCCCCGCTATATAACCATGTGAACAAATAAAGAACAACAACTAGAAATGGGAAGCTAAATGAAATGTTGAATTTCATGATGTAAATCTCTTACTTGCTCCCAAACTTTTACTTTCATTTGCACTTGTGAATCAAGCAAAAATGGGATCAGTTCCCTTAAGTGCAGAACATCGATTCAAAAACCAGGTGACACAGTTAAATAACTATGACTCATAATAATAAGCCATGTACAAACATCACACAGTGCATGAATTTTCATATGTGGGATCGTTGTTTCACTTATGTACGCAAATTGAAATGTTCAATTACTAATTATGAAGAATTATATAGGTCTCTTATGTGCTGCACCCATTGGCTTCTGATTCTTAATTTGGGATCCACTTCAGGGACGGAGCCACCAGTCAAGATACGGATTTTGCAACCATTACACTTTTGGGTTCAGATGAAACCGTAGACTATATGGTACATCCACCACTGACTATAAGACAGTTTAAATACATTTATTGGTATTTGCACCAGATAACTCTAGGTGAATCTGTTCTCTGGAAAAGTTTTCTAGACATTTTGTGCATCCTATTCAATTATATTCAACATTACTACATCTCTTATTGTAAGCTGTAGGCAAAGTATTGTAAGCTTCATTTCAGCTGTAACATAAAGAAGTTAAACAACTCTAATTACTCAGATACAGAAAAAGGAAAATGAAAACAAGGTTGTCCATGTTAGGCAGATCAGAGTTCAAATTCCAAAATAATATCAAATTGTAGCAGTTCAAAACTAAAAATTTATCATCTTTGTGCAGCAAGTTTCAACAGAGATTCTGAAGTATCATCGAAAACAGAAACCTTCAGCTCATTTGCATTGACAAGCTGACAAACATCCTTCCTTATTCTTATTATAACTCACAAACTGTTTTCATCCTCCACAAAACGCGCGATATCCATTGTGTTATACAATTCACGTTCCACCTTTTTCCTTCTGAATTACGGAGGACAACTGTTGTCTTATTGTCTGATTTTGGAAGTTGTTCACAGAAGGATTTTGGAACATACTGCATGACAAGTATTAAGTATTTGGTTTACATACATTTGACACACTTCATAGCTTATTGGTGACAGAAACTAATAAGCATGAACTTGTTTTACGTCAAGAAAACACTTACTAGGAAACAGGACTTTTACACATTGTAGCCTTTCAAGCATTTCACAAATTGAGGAATATTTGGAGTAAGATCTGTGAGAAGGTCTCTTCTTTCTCAAGTGCAGCTCTTTTTCTTGGAGTTGCATGTTCTAAGGAAACACTACATAGTAGTCCATCACATGTTAAGATAGGTCTTCTGCAAATGAAATTTTGGTTGATGAAAGTCTAAATTTGATCACTATTACTGCATTTTATGCCAACTTTCAACAACAGCTAAAAGAATTGGAAAGGTATGAGTTAAAAATCATCATACCTGTGTCGCTTTCACCGTTAGCAAGAGTCTGTTCAGGGAATTTTGAAGTGTAAGGGTATTTTTCTGGCCTTTTACACTGCTGCCTCTATCATATATTGAAGCTTGTTGATTTTTGATCATGTCTGTTGACTTCACTTGTCTTTCCAGTCCGTTGTTGCTGAAAATTCTTGTTGTGAATTGCAGACTGCCATATCACATTAGCAGTTGCACTTGTGTTTGACACCAAATCTTTAAGGCTAGATCTAATTCACATATATAGGATGAACAGACAAAAACATAAACAGTTCAGTGTTTTGCAAGTGAAGCCATGATCATTTAAAGTTCTCCAACCAAGCTTAGCAATTGTCACACAAGTTGACCCGATAAGGGTTTGACATTCAAATGTAATTAAACTAAACTTCAGAACTTGTAGTCTTATACATTTATATGACTACAAGATCGATCGTGTTGAGATATACAAGTATGTCATTTTTTTCTTGCTCCTCCACAGCCGATTTTGAACCTTCAACTCATTGTCCTCTTTAGCGATGATCATACAGTCCATGCTTGACTGATTCTACCATAGCTTGATGGTTAATGATTTTGCTTGTGTATCTGCAATTTATCAAGTTAGCTCTCAATAAGATGCAGATAAATTTTCAAACTTGCAATATTTTGTTGGATAAAAAAACTAGCCGGTCTTGCAATTGGTTTTATTTGAAGATACAACCAAATATTATCATCATGTTTGTATCTAAATTTATTTAATTATATTAAAGAAAAATCATATGAAGCAATATGTAGAAGAAGAAGAAAAAAAGACAAGAATACATGCTTTATAAAAAGAAAAAGAAACAATGTAGTACTTGCCAAGACAGAGAAAAAAAATTATATCGTTCCTCCCCTAATATTTTGCTATCATTCATAATTAAGCAAATTATACCTACAGAGTCCTATTTGAGGCGTAATGTTTGCTATTTTCGAACTTTTCCTAAAATATGTCAATTATGTTTATAGCAATTCAATAAACATGAGAAGCAGACCGAAATAACTTGTATGTTTACACCAAGTCAATGTAATACGTGATTTAATGAGGTAAAACACATGTAAATTAATTATGGTTAAGTACAATGAACTATTAATTTAAACACATAGCATGTATGTATTGACTTGATGTTAACAATCAGTGTGGCTAAATTTTACACCATAATTACTTAATATGATTTAGCGAACAAACTAAATAGCAGAGCCGTAAGATCAAATCAAAACTTTACGTTTGAAGCTTCCACTTTTAGTATGGCATGATGAGTAAGTTCAAATAAAAACTTCATCAATTCTTTTATAAGAACAATAGGACTTACTAAAGCAATCTTAATTATTTCATCAACGAACAACGATAATTGAAGTCTTGAAAAACAAACAATAATATTTATAGTCTTCAAAATTTGTCAACATGAAATAATACTTAAACATTAAAATGTTATGGTAAATAGTAATAAACTAATCTCTTTTATTTATTATTGGGATGGGAATTTGATCCTTCTTGGAGAACACGAACTTGTAAGAAGGAGATTTTGCCACATTGTTCTCTCACAAATTCACAGATGAACCTGTCATTTTTCTCCACAAGGTTCCACCGACATATACTGCGCCATCCGCCTACCAACCATATTCGGCCGTCTTTCCAATATTTGACTTTTGTCTCAAATTCTCTGCCAGCTGAGTCGCGAATGATCATGCTAGGAGGGAGTTCAAGTTTGTAGTCTCTCACCACATCAATTGGAACATACTATCATCAAGAATAAAGAGTTTGTTAAATTAGAATGTTGCATACAATCATTCTCAAGATCAATATATAATAATAGGCTTTATTACCTGTTGATTTCTCCTTTTTGCTATTATCTTTGCTACAAAGTATGGATTTTTTGGCTTAGTTGCGCTTCCACTTCTGAATATATCTATACCATGTCGGTCGATCATATTCCTGACCTTGCAAGTAATGGCTTTTCTGCGTCCAGCTAAATCAAGAAAGCTATGATCAGATTCACAAATAGAAATCTCATGAATACTCACAAATACTCCATTCTTTTCATTTTATGTGCTGATACTTTATTGAACATGAACTTTATGAAAGGAAAAAATACTTTTGACAATAAACCAAAGGTTTTATTATAAAATGACATTTGAATGTATTCTCTCTGATATTCAATAAATACTAACAGAATGGGCCCCTAGGCTAGTTTTATCAATGAACCAAACAACCAAACCTATATTAAAACTTATAGTCCTAAACATTTCATAACATCTATAAGATTAAGACTATAAAGTCATGACCAAATATACAAACATAATCATATAAAATGAATAAGCTGAGTAGAACAAAATATTTAATAATTGTTTGTACCTTTTGAACCTGACCTCCTTTTCTTGAATGTTTGAGTCGTTTCAATCTCTTCTTCATCTTCTTCCTCCTCAGCTTCATCCTCCACTTCCTCCATAGTTTCTTTCTCCTCCCTGTCTTCTTCCTCTTCCTTTTCCACCTCTTCTTTAACGTTACTTTCTTCTTCTTCTATCATGTAGTTATTAGCATTATCATCATCAGATGAACTATCATTATTATCTCCAATCCTGTTTTTTTCTTTTGGCTCTACACTCTTTCGATGTTCAACATACACTTCCTTTTTCTTTTCACATTTAGCTCCTTCTTTTACACATCCGCTCATTTCAAGTACTTTGAAGTCAAATGTTTCATTTCCATCATAATCAAATATCATAAAGTCTCCGTACTCTAGAGTGTTGTTATCCTCAATAAATTTCTTCCATCCATTTTCAAAATACAAAGCTCCTTCTATTTTGGTCACTCCCATAGGCCACATATTATTAAATCGATCCCTAAAAAAAACATTCCTAGGTAACTTTCCATTCTTGTAGGTTGCATAACTTGAGGGAATTTTCTGTGAAGAAATTTTGTGAAAGAACATCAATTTATTTAAATCAGACTGATTATATCATAAAAATAATTAATATCGAAAGAAAAAATATTTTAAAATATTCAACAATGTGGGTATTTGAGAAACTACAACATAGAATGTAAGGCATTCTCGTAGTTCTATTGCAAAATTACACTATCAACACAAAGTAATATGATCATTTGGAAATGATAGATACAATTTTATGACATCAATTGATTGAATAATTAATCATACACAATGCCAGTATAGATCTAGAAAATTTCAACATATATAAGTACTATGATATAATAATTACTTGCACCACACAAAAACATTGTCCTCCCCTTATTCATAGCCCAAGCTTCAAACGTATACAAGACAATAGTCACATAGAAAATGAATTAATGAGAGGGAAAGTAAAACTTTAAACAACTGTAAAGGGTCATGATTTCTAAGTTTTGCAGATCTAAAATTTCACCAAGGCCTTTAAATTCTCATATCTGTTGCCCACATTTCCAAAAGAAGAAGAAAAAAAAATGAAGAAACTTACCATTCGTTTTGCACTGGATTCAGGATTGAAAATCCTGAAGAAACCCTTTTCCATTTTCGCTTTTATCGTCAAACTATAAGAGAATGGAAGAATACGGCGCACAACTTAAACCCTATAAGCGGCTTTAATGTTAAAAGAGTGTCAAATACTCATGAGCGTGTGTGTATATATATAAGAGAAGGGGAGATTATAAGAATCTTAAGATAGAAGGGGAGATTATAAGAATCTTAAGATGTTCTCATGCATAGTGCATTGTAGTTTTTGGTGTTGTAATATTTTTTAAGTACTCAAAAATATCAATTTCCATAGTTTGCTATTTTATTTTTATTTTTCATAGTATCATGTAAAAATTGATGTATGACGGAAAAGGTATATTTGCACATTCCCTCTTCTTTTTTTGTTCACATGATAAGCTTAGGTGAACTCTCTTTTTGGCTCCATTCAGACTTTCAACACAACTTTTACCATCAACAAATTTGTCGTTTCTGTCACGTTTACCAATAGCCTACAGAACGGTTACCAATCTTCTTCACACAAGAAACACCTTACCAACCTTTGATGTGGCTATAACCATGTGAACATATAAAGGAACAAAAACTAGAAAGGAAAAAACAAATGAAGGAACATCTCTGATTACTCAAATACAGAAAAAGGAAAATGAAAACACGGTTGTTCATGTGAAGCAGCTACAGAGTTCAGATTCCAACATAATGACATCAAATCGTAGCAGTTCAAAACTAAGATTTATCATCTTTGTGCAGCAAGTTTCAACAGAGATTCCGAAGGATCGTTGAAAACAGAAACCTTTAGTTCATTTGCATTGACAAGCTGAAAAACACAGACCTGTCCTTCCTTAAGATTGTTATCACTCACAAACTGTTTCCATCCCCCACAGAAAGCATGATATCCATTTTGTGTTATACAATTCACTTTCCACCCTTTTCCTTCTGAATTACGGAGGACAGCTGCTCTCTTATTGCCTGATGTCGAAAGTTGTTCAGAGAACCATCTTGGAACGTACTGCATTAGAAATATTAATTATTTGGTTTACATACATTTTACACATTTAGTATCTTACCAGTCACATAAACTTGTTTTAGTTCAAGAAAACACTTACCAAGAAACAAGACTTTTTCACATTGTAGCCTTTCAAACATTTCACAAATTGAGGAATATTTGGAGTGAGAAGGTCCTCTTCTGTCACAAGTGCAGCTCTTTTTCTTCGAGTTTCATGTTCTAAGGAAACACAACATACATCTTCTGCAAGGGAAAAATCTAAATTTGATCACTTTTACTCCATTTTATGCTAACTTTCAACAACAAGAAGAAGAATTGGAAATGTATCATTATACCTGTTTCATTTTCACCGTTAGCACAAGTCTTTTTAGGGAATTTTTCTGGCCTTTTACGCTTGCTGCCTCCATCTATTGAAGCTTGTTGATTTTCTACCATGTTTGTTGATTTCACTTGCCTCTCCAGTCCATTCTTGCTGAAAATTCTTATTGTGAATTGCAGAGCGCCATCGTACCTAAACACGAGATATTCCCCATTTTCTAATTGATTATTTTTTTGAAATTTCTTCCAACCCTTTTGTATAAGCAAACCATCTTCATCACACTGTAGTTTCACATTCCAAGTGCCTCCAGAAAGACACTTGAGGGTGGCTTTATCAGGTGATTCTTCTGATACATGCCTGAGAAAATGGGCTGGGATTCTCTACAAATTAAAACATCAAGTATGTTCAAATTAAAGCAGAACAATGTAAGATTGCTTGTAAAATGATGAACAGAAGCAGAGAATTACCAGTTCATTAGTGATTGAGGGACAGAAAACCTTGTAGAAAATTGCTCTTTTGTCTATCTTCAACAACGAGTTTTCCATCATATCACAATTCAATTGATTTGAAAAGATGGGAAGATGGAGTGTATTTATGAGCTATTTTCGGGGCCTTTTCCGTTTAGCATACGCGAAAAAGGAAGTAACATGTTGAAAAATTTACTAGTGCAATAATGTCCTCTTGAAAACATTCAAAATTCAGAGTTTCCTTATTAAGTCACCTGAATAACGAAGATAAGATGCAAAATTAATTACCGAGATGAGTGTGAAGATGGAGAATTTTCCCAAAAAAAGTTGTACAAGAAGTCGATAGTGCCTTACCTATTTTGAAACAAAATTTGAAAGGTGGGACAGGACCACATAGGAAAACAGCTAAAATTAGTGTCTGCAGTACATTACAAAATTGAAGAATTTGTGAACTATAAAAAGCAACTATTTTAATGCAAAACATATGGAGTCATTATACTTTTGAATGTAACAGATCAATTGTATTATAATAGGCCTTTAGCCATTTGCCAATCCATGCTTCATCTTCTTTGCTTATCAAGTGTCATGTAAAAGTATTTTATATAATGAACATATAAAAGTTAAACACACTTAAAACTCGATGATAAAAGTCACTAAAAATTAATTGCAAGTGTACATATCTACATTGAGCATGGTACGTGTGATAGTCTTCATGTTTTTAATCAACAGTACATACATAGAAAAAATAAATAAAACATAAAACTTCACGAACTCTCAATGACAACAACATACCGAGTTTAATCCCACTGAGGGTAAAGTGTACATAAATCAAGTCTCAATGGCAAGAGCAAAATTGGATTCATCGTAAAACTGCATTTAGTCACTAGTCTGACTAGTTATATTATGAAGTGGTAGTTTCAAATGAATATACAAGACTGCACACCAAAAACGATAACTATACAAATTTCAATGCACACTTTGTACAATGAGAAGCAAAAGTAGAGCATTTGCTGCTACCTTGGCATTCCATAAAGAATTTACGGCACCTCAAGATCCTAGATGGGAAAAAAATGAAGATGACAAAATCAAGTCACAAAGATTCGCTCTCCTTCCCAGCTTTTCATGAGAATTTTGGATCTACAGGCAGAGTCGAGTCAAAAGAGCTCATTGACGTAGTCACTGAAAAAAGAGAGGCACCTATACAGGTTGAGTGTGTGCCTTCTCATGGATATCCTTCACAAGATCCCTCAGTTCAGGGAAGATTGATATAAGTACAAGTTCGAGGACACCATATGTAAGCTGCTTTAAGCAGATAGTAGACTGCACATTACAAGACAATTTTTGTTGTTAATTTAGCAGAAAACATGTAATAGGAAACCAATGTTCTCACAGAGAGGTCTTACCTGAAGGAAATAATACAAATCCCTAGCACAACGTCTGTACTGCTTGTGCCCAATTAAGCTGACCAAAGTGGCGGGAGCACCATCTAAGAATTTAAAGAGGAACCAGTTAATAATATCATCCATGGCCCTCTCAAGGCAGGGTTGCTATAAACCCTACCTGTATCTAAGAATTTAAAGAGGAACTAAATGTAGAGTGGCAGGGCAACATAAAGCACAGGGTCAAATTGGTTTGGTGAAATTGAACAGATAACCCAACCTAAACGAACATGAACCACCCCCAGTGCAAGCATGGAAATTGTGTGTGAATCAATACTGTAAGCGATCTACTCCACAAAAAATAATACCCTCTATACAACTGTTACAGGCCCGGGAAACTGGCTAGCTGAAGCAAGAGTAGTACAGTTTGAAAACAGTTTAAAATGAAGCAACAATGAGACATGAATTTTTCTGACTTTTGCACAGTCCAAATCCATAAATGAACAATAGAAAAATCAAGAAAAACATCTTATTTTAAGGAACTTCCATTTCATAAAATAGGCAAAATCGAGAGCCACACTTACCATAGAGCATCTTTTTCACATCACTTGCCCTACGAGTAGCCTCAAGCTGCTCCTCAAAAGATCCTGCCTTAGAGACCTTACTTCCTCCAGATTGTTTCGTGCTATGAACAGATCCTTGATTTGGTTCATTGCTGCTTTCAACAATATTTCTTAATTTTATGAAGAAAATGCCATTGGGCCAGAGAACCTAGGAATGCAATCAGCAACAGAACCAAAAAGTCACTTCCAAATAATCCTTCTGCATAATTTCCTCATTTTATAATCTTAAAGTAGCACAATGTTGACACACAAGGAAGTCGGGAGACAGCCCACAACCAAAGAAATCAAGATGATATTAGTCAAATTCCATACATTATGAGTATGGTATGCTCCCTAATATTAGTTGACTAAATCATATTAAACTTAATTCTCAAACAAAGAAAAAAGAAACTACCTTCTATAAACCAACGACGTATATAAAAGTGCATACAAATTAACATTTTATGTTGCAGCACAAATTAACATTCTTTCCCCCGACACTAATTTCCAAATGCTAATGTCTTCCTATCTATTTCACATATGCCACATCAAGTTCAAAATAAATATAATGTAAAGAAATACTATCTACATAAGTGCAGTATTGTAGATGGCAGACTTTGAAATCTAATAAGGAATTAGCTGAAGTGTCATGCTAAATGAATCATATTGAAATAATTAAATTTATTACATCAATGATCAAAGATTGAATTATGGAATATTGATGAATTGCCACATGCATTAATTTTATGAAGAACTCTCAAGGAGGAATCTAGCGTTGTAAAAAATATTAGAGGCATAACATGTCAACTCCTAAAAAAGGAACCTGCACTAAAGTTTGCTAAGAAGGGACTCTACACCATTGTCCTTTTTTGTAATTCCAAACTATTTCTCTCCACCAATCAAGAGTTTTTTTTCCCATTTGTCATCTAGTTAATGCAATCTGTAAATACTGTAAGTCCAGAAGCAGAAGCCAAGAAAAAATTGCTTCAAAGGTAAGCAAGTAAGATGGAAAAGTTACAATAAGAAAACTAAATGCTTACATCTTGAATCCATTTAATTCCCAAAGCAATAATATCATCTCTCCGTAGCCAATGAATTTGCCTTAACAGCCAATCATCAATAGCATCCTCCATCATTAACTGCATAATTTCCTTTGATATCCAAAATACCTGTCTTCTGCGCTAACAAAAATGGCTTTGTTAGATGCTCGCTAATGATGCCATGCCATGGGAATAATATACATACAATATACCATCTGTGCAGGGTTTCGCTAACCTACTGCATAGGTGTGTTACACCTCCCATTTTCTAATTTCCGTAGAGATCTTAATATTAGTCTTTTAGGGGCTTTTTTTGCCTCACATAAATCCCCCAATTCACCTAAATGTCCATACTTTTATTATTTTCCAGATCGATAGTTTCATTCCTTTCTCTTCATTCTTTGGTATTCCTCAAACAACCACAAGAAAGGAGTTTGTCAATAATTTGGTAATTTCTGAGTTCAGAGTAAAACCATGAACAATGAGCAATAGGATCCACCAAGATAAAGATTTTATTCAATTTAACACTTCTTTTATACATTCATTGAATTCAGGTCACTGGAAACTAAAACTTTGAGTCCATCAATCAGAAGGCAAGAACAAACAGAAAGGCAAAAATGCAAATCTATAAATGGAAATTCTTACTCTGGTCGCAGGGCATAAACACTTTTTTAAAGGCAAATAGTATATTTACCCATAATCTGATCAACAAAATTGAAGCATATTAATTCTTACCTCCATTGATGGCACTGTAAATGTTGAAAGAAGACAAGATGCAAAAGGAAAAAAACTTGAAATTTTAAAGAACCATGGCTGCTCTTTCCCTTTTCTCACTAGTGAACAAAGATTGGGTGATGTAGGGGAGGGAAGAAAAAATTGGGAATTGTGGATTTACGGTGAAAGTACCAAAATAAAGCCCCAACAAGGACCAATCTTTAATGAGGTGGCGAGGACATTTACATATTGTTACAATTTTGTTGAAAACCATGTCTAATTTGTGAAATCCTGGATCATCTCCTTCTCTCCTTCATGTATTTCCATGCGAAGCATGTGCATACTTTAGTAGTTCAGCTTTACAGGATGACAATTTGTAGGTTTGGCATAATTTCAAATCATATATTATATCGACCCTTCTAACTCATTTTTAGGAACCAAATTAAGCATGAAGATGTTAAACATGGATGATAAAACTGATCCAATAATGAAAATATGAAAGAGAAGTTAAATGTAGGAAAACAACTCTCAATTTGATACCAGGAGGGGAGGGGAGGGGAAGTAGAGAAGTACAAAACATGTTGTTGTCACCTTAGCCAGCCTCTTCTATTCAGCTGAAAAATCTTGTCCACCAAATTTAAGATAGGTACACTTAAGTTGGGCGGCGTCCACTGAAAGGAAAAAACCCAAATGAGAATGAGTAAGCAAAACAGAAGCACGTGATATTAAGGAGGAAAAAAAGCAGCCCAGCACAAAATCAAGAACCAGTAGCCGACTGGGGGGAGAAATAATCAGGGTGGCAATGAGGCTGAAATGGGAGGGTTTAAACCGATGTGTGGCGGGGTGGGATGAACCAGTTTTAAAAAACTTGGTGGGGTGGAGTGGGGCAGGTTGCAGACTTCCAGGCGAAATTTCTGCTTCCGAGCATATTCATTGTAGCGTTTCTCTAAAAAAAAAAATCCACTTCACTGCTATCTCTAATCTATAACTGTTTCTTTTTCACTTGCTACTTCAAAATCACTTTTGATTTTCTTTTACCATTTATTGAAGAATAATTGAGTTGCTACAGATAAAAATACCGATTTATTACGAGCAATATGTTTATTCTAAAGATAGTTTTCTTTCTTTATCTTTAAAATAGAATTATTTGATAATTCAAGTTGATAACAGAGATAGTGGATAACATTGTAATTATTTCTTTCTATAGTTTTCTTAGATTTTTTAGTGAAGCATGTCATATATAATTAGGTAAAAAGAGTCGTCCAGTTTGAATGCTTAGCAAAAATAAATTAGCATAAAATCAATGAACGTGATGGAGAACTATTTACTATGTCATTCAAGAAATTTTTGGATCTGTTATTTTACTTACAGTAGCATTGGACTTTTGCTAAAGCAATATAAAGAGCCCATTTTAAAAAATAAAATTATAAACTTCCCTATTTTAACACAGTAACGGAAGGAAGAAAAAAATGAAAGAAAAACTAAAATAGGCTAGGGTAAGGCAAGTAGGTTGAAAGTAGAAAAAAATGTTTAGTGGGGTGGGGCAGGTTGAAATTTTAGCAGGTTAGAAGACTCAACCCGCCC